GAACATTTCGCACAACACCGGAAGTGCAGACAAAACACTGAACTCGAGACAAAACCATAGAACTAAAAGAGAATTGTTGCAGCACAAGCCATCAGCTGACAGAGCTCACATCTGGCAAAGTACAAGAGGAAAGCTTCAACAGTGCAATTAAGCTCGGTGCAGCCCGACTATTTCATCAAAATAAAAACAAAACTGCAAATTTGTGATTTCATTTATACAGATAACTTACATTATCATAGAATTAATGCAAAAAGTAGACGTGTCAGAGTTAAGTAAAATAATTACCGTGAGGGAAATTATTAGCCACAAAACACATAGCAAAATACAATCACCCACACCTTATATGGGGAAGCTTTCCCTGTAAAAAGCATAAGGAATGCCCGCCCTTATTAATAAAGTCTGGACTCAGTTCAGGATTAACGGAAATAGGGGAGGCCTTCCGTCTACTTTTATTCCAATTTGTATAGGTTCTGTCAAAATTTTCACGTGCTTGCTCTTGAGTCGCGGGTGGTTTTAGGGAGCTGAATTTGAAACATTTTAGTTGCACATGGATAGGAAACATTTCCCTAAATTTTAGCTTCTTAGCTTTCTTCGTTCTCGCGCATCTTGGTGGGTAAGTTCCTCAATCCTACTTCCCAAATCCTCCCCCTTTCGTTCGACGAAAGGAACTAGCGCAGCAAGCCCCGACTGCGATAATGTACAAAATCATACTGATATAAGAATACTAAGGTAACCCGGACAATTTCAATGTCAGTAATATTACTGGGATGCTTTCACATGGATTTAAGACAGTCAACAATTTTTACCTTTCAGATCAAGAATGGCACTTTGCACGATAAACTTGACAATGGAAAAAAAATCTCTTCAGATTTGACTTATTAAAAAAAAAAATTGCACAAATTGCACAGATAGCCAGATTTGATGGAGGAATTCAGGAATCAAGTTCTGGAGCACTTCGACAAAAGCATCTGTATCTTTTACAGGAACGAACAGAACAGATTAATTTTGCAAA